GTCATTCATGTCTCAGCCTGTGATAAAGAGGGAGGTGCAGCGTTCGATGAGATCTGCGCTCTCGGGATTTCAGCGCCCGCCTGCACGGGATCAGTGATTCTACCATAAACAGCCTGCCAATATGACAGGTCTCATAAATAAACATTGAGTGCAGCAGGGAGTGAGTATATTTTCCCTAAAAATGACAGCCCAACACATACACCCACAGAGTCTGATGATCTCTGCTCTAATCCAGACTTATCCACAGCATAACCATCCACTCCTCCGTGTCACCTCTTCTAATATTCAGGTGCGAGAACTTTCTTTCATCGTAATGTGTGGCAATTGCAAGCAGAAGGCTTGATGATGGCTGCATGTGACTCAGCCTGTCAGTAGAAGGCAAAATCAAAGCGCAGGTTTGTCTACACTCCATGAGTGCTACTGAACCTGGCAGACCTCCTATCCCATAATGCAATCTGATTGTCTGCAGTAGACAGGTCCCTGGCCTCGGAAGAAAGGGATCTCCCTTAGCGCAGCTGCTAAGCCGGGCTTGACTTCTCCCTCGCTTGCTCTTCATTCTCTCTTTCTTTCTCTCTCCTCGGCATGTTCTGTCACTTTCTGCTCACGTGTGAAGGCACAGTCCGCTTGACAGGGCGACTCTCGACTCTAGCAATGCCATTTGTGTCGTGCAGCTTAGATTCAGGGGTTTGTTTCTCAATCTCCGCTCACAAAAGCCCCTATAAGGCTTGTGTTGTCACAGACCTTCTCCCCTATAATCCTCCCTCCGCTCAAGACATCACCCTCCACTGCCAAGCGCACACTTTGCTGCGACATCGGAACATGTTATGCATTATTAAATATACTTTTCCTAAAAGGCTGCTGTGGCATTCAGTTTTCGTCGCGATATGTCAGACTGCTCAAAATATCCCACTGGAGAACAAAGCTTGAAATCATTATCTTGGGATGTTAAGAATAATTTTGAACTGAACAGAAAGCTCACAGCTCAAGTGCATGCTATTATTTTTTTCTTTTCCGGCTACTTTCATGATTGCTGCTGCTAAATCTCAGATATAATGTCATAAACCTCTGATGATGATTGATACTTACAATTTCCCACTCACCATATGAATATTTTGTGAGAAACATGACTCAAACAAAACCTCTACCCTATGGTAATGACAAATTGCACTGATTATTCTAAATAATCAACTGTTTCATGCAAGAATCTATTCTGGTATCTTTCTATCTATCATCTGTAGAAATGTTCATGAACAAAAACATTTTAGATTATGAATGTATAAAGGCTGTAAATGTATAAAAGCTGCCTGCATATATAAATATATAGAAATTAGACTAAACTTCACTTAAGTATTTCATGTCAACTTGTTCAGATCAAATCTGTTTAATATAATCCCCCCCCAAAAAAACTGAATTGCACACACACTCTGTCCGAAAAAACGCTGTCCGAAAAAACGTTACGAGAATACAAAGAAACACAAAACCCAACCAAAGACTATAATTATTAATTCAGTTTGATGTTTGAAGTAAACTTGCATGCAAAATAAACCAGAAATTGACATTACACTAATCGTACTCCAGCAGCATTTGTTAAACACTGTTCAATCAGTACTGTGTAAATTAATTCTTAGAGAGTTCGTTTAAAATTTCTATTTAACAAAATGGCCTACTTTGATGGATTAAAACAAATTAGAGCATATGAGGTAAGAGTTAATCGTGCGTGAAAGCAACCTGGACATAGAAAGACAATAAAACGCATTATTGCCGCAAGGGGGCGCTTCCATTCGCATTCTCTCATAGGAAAGTCCACTCTCCAAGGTGCTGAAATCGTATTCGGTTCGCATACATTTTCTACTTGCATATCACAAATACGTTTTCCAGGTATTTTTTTTACAGGTGTCGGTATCCTATTAAAGAGGCTCAGTACTAGACAATAAACCACACAGCATTCCGAATGAATTTGGCTGAGGAAAGTTAAAGCTGCCGCGAAATCATAAAACTAGATCCCATAAGTAAATTATTAACTAACGTATGGCGCACATATTCACACAAACCAACCTAAACTTAAAAAGGAAACGGAATACTCACGTTAATGAGCTTCACTCTCGATGTGAAGGGTCCCGCGGAGGGCTGGGTGTTCAACAAGTTCATGAATGACCATAGAGGATCCTCTTAAAGACGGCTTGTTAATCTTAATGTGATGAGTTCGGGGAAAAAACGGAATCCCCACCACCTCCACCCGAACTAAACGGGCTGACTAAACACAGCGATTGAAAGGTGTCTCGCGGCACGTCAATCTTTTCTTAAGTCGCGTGCCACATATAGTGCGAGACGTTACCGAAGCGGAAATTTCTGAGGTAAACTTCAAAGGAAATGTTTTTAGTGGCACAGAAATTAGCATAAATTCAACCTCTGCGTGTGTCCCAAACGGTGTAAACTCATAAATTCCACAATTTCTCCTTCTTCATCGTGTTTTCTTTTGTGAGTCTCATAACAATCGCCTCAGAGCCAGTAACCGTCCTCACTCAACTTTAAATAGCCAAGGGTCCGTTCTTCCTGACGGCTTTTTTCAACCGCCCTATATAAAAAAAACAAGAGACTCCCTTCTTGTTTGCAGGGATAACGACAAACAGTTTTTTTTTTGTGCAATATTTTCACTATTTCCTCGACGTTTTAGACGTGAGCGAGATACGAATCGCACCAATTAGACCCGCGCGAGCCGATAATATCCTCACGCGCATATACAGCGAGTGTTCGGCGGGAAATGATGGCTGGGGAAGATTACGCACTTGGACACTCCACACACTCTCTCTGCTTTTACACATCCACTCAGCCCTCACTGTTTTCTGCTCATCCTCTCCCTCTCTCTCTTCCAGCAGTTTAAAACTCAGTTGGGACTTCAGCAAAGACACAAACGGGACAGAAAACAGTCCTCCTTTTTGTATTCAAACAAATGGTGAGGGAGATGGGTTATATATTACATATTTCTCTCTGATGTAAGGATCTCTTCACTGTAAATACTAAGTAGGATATGCCATCCACAGGGTCCTAAAGGTAGTATTTACTTAAGACTTATTATGTTGGAGCTTCTATTTATGGTGATTGTGAACATAATTCATTATCTAGATTCAGCAAGAACATCCTGCTGATACATAGGCTAAATTGAAGCTGCTTTTTTATTTAAAAAGCCTGCTGTATAATTTCACATATTTCCTTAATGCAATTAAAGCAAGAAACTAAAATGATCCATATTAATATAACTAATAATATTAGAAAATAATATTAAATTAATTTACTTAAATTACTATATTTACTTTACAAAGAAAAAAGTTTCATGTTTAAAATAAAAGTAAAAAAATAAACCAAGAAACAAATCAAATCATCACACAGATCAGAAATAAACGCAATTTAAAAAATAGCTATACTGAGTGGAGCATGGCTTGGAAATGTTATGGATTTTAGCTATCAAAGCGACCGGGGTATATCTACAAAACAGAATAAAGTCCAAAAAGAAGTCACATTAATTAACTGTTAGAAACAATAAAGCAAAGCCATCACTGTTTGGAGAAGCTAAAGTAACTATGATGCATTGCAAAAACACAGATTATCTGCAGGATGATGTTCCAGCCTATAAACAGGTGTAAAAAGCCAGTGTTTTTTTTTTTCAAGCAACAGCTTAATTTCCGCCAGTAGCCAAGTTCATGCACCCTATCAGTATGCAATTAATTAATGACACTTAAAATATGCACTGCATATTATTTATGAATATACCAATACCATGAAGTGTGAATACTTTATAAACTACTGTTGCAACTCAACTGGTCCGTTAGTGAGAATTGAGGGCTACATATAAAGTAACAGCTAGTGATAATCATTCATCTCATAAAGAGGCAATGAGTTCAAGCTCTGCTCATTTATGTAGTTGCTGTCAGAAAGCCTTTTATGGAGAACCAATAAACTAGAATATTGCCAGTGCGTGACATCCTACACACAAACTGATTGTGCGTTTTCTTTCAAGCATACTAGTGTTTAAAGTAAAGAAACAGTAATTTAGCATCTTACAAAAAGAGTTTTACACCAGCAAGGTCCACTGCCAAAGCCATAAACAAAAAGAGACACAAGTGCGCAAAAGCGCATGGTAGATTTTACGCACTGCAGGCGAAAGAGAATAAACCATCCATTTAGAAAAAAAAATACATTAGCGTATTTAGATTAGCGTATTAATTGAGTTATATTCAAATAATTCTTCTAGAAAGCCGGTAAGACCATTAAAACACCTAACGCACGTCAAAAGTTTGGGCGAGACGCACCCATTAACCACGCATACATTGAGATATAAAGTCCTCACTGATCTCACCTTCACTCGAAAGCTTCACTCCAAGGCGTCAATCCGAACGGTGCGATGAGATCTCATATTGCACACCGATATTTGACGGGTTTCAATCGGGACATCTTGGAGACGCGCAGGTGCGGAGCTGAACTCAGAGGCGACCACTCCTATCCTCGGCTCCGGGAGAATGATGGTCTAATCGAAGGCACAAATGGCACTTCAGCGAGTCAAACAACTCAGCAAACAAATGCGACGGCCGGGAAACACTTTTCCGGCTTAGTGTTAGGTTTTGGCAAAGCCTTATTTCTTTGGGGTGGATGTGACAGATGAGATGCCTTGGGAAAGTGGGATTATATTCAACATGTGGCGGATGGTCGTGGGTGCGACTTGATTAAAAAAAAATTACATATATTAAACGTAGTGGTAATACTATCAACTATATCATAGCATCACGAAAAAAATGCATTAAGCACAAGTTGCTTATTTCTATACATATAGAAAATACTGTCAAAAGTTATTTGAGCTTTTTTAATATAAAATAATAAAAAAAAATATATAAAAAAAAAAGCCCCCCCCCCCCCCCAAAAAAAAAAATTACTTCACTTTGAAAAAATTAATGACTGGTGACTTCAAAACCACCATGCTTCATTGCATGTGTGAAATTAGCATGTGGACATTATTTATTTCTGTGACTTGTCTCTGATTCGCACCTGCACATCTAAATTAGTGATGGAGAAGGAAGATACATTTTCTGTCACGGACCATTTAACCTAAAAGTGGCCAGTCATTAGTTCAGACAGGAAGGTCAAGGCGCTGATATGAAAACCTAAATGCTGCTTGTCTACATAAAAGAAAATTGAAGATGACTGCATAGACTACAGAATAATTCATGTGAACAACATGAACTATAAACCACTTTCGGGGTGACCAAAAATCAGTTTAGCTTATCGTCATCATGTAAGTCAATCAAATACGGCCATTGTTACAATCAGATGATGTATATCACCAACTGTTGTGCACCCCCTAAACATACACTTTAAAAATCAATAGATATCCTTCCTTCACAGACGGGGCACATCCGTTGAATGTGTTTACCATTTCATATTCCGCACAGCCATGCATCTTAAAATCTATCGTAAAGTTCAATAGCTCGCTGGCGCTGCAGTTGACATGGACAGACAATCACATGACTGCATCAGCCAGTAGGAGATGCAGCCTGTGTTTCCTTCAGTGCTGTCATACCTTTCAGTTATCTGAGAATTGATGACTGCCTCTCATGTGGCTCATCACTGTCTCTCACATCTGAGAAGAGTATTGGGTTTCATCTGTTCCGTCCAGCGCATATCTGTCACATGGTAAGATATATGAAGAGAGATCACTATGAAGTGAGATGTTTCCACAGACGGTTTAACCCTTGTATAGACAATAACATGTCAAAATCCAATCTAATTCTTCTTCTGATTTTCCAATATGATGCTAATACTTTGATTTATTGTGATCTTTACCATGGCTGTTGGATAACTCATAAAACTATAGACATCTGGAAAAGTCAACCCTTCAAAACAGATTTCAAAAGAAACATTTCTTTGACAGGACATCTGTGATCTCTTATGACCATGTTTAAATCTTTATGTAGATCTTATTAGGCCAAATTAAGCTAAACCATAAAGTAATAGTTCACCCAAAAAAGAAAGTTTTCTCACCCTTAGGTCATCCAAGATGAGCTTTTTTGTTCATTGGAACAGATTTAAAGAATTTTAGTATTATATCACGCTCATAAATGGATCCTCTACAGTGAATGGGTGCCGTCAGAATGAGTCCAGATAGATGATAAAACATCACAATAATCCACAAGTAGCCTAATCCACACAAATTCCATCAATGCATCAGTTAACATCTTATGAAGCAAAAAGCTGTGTTTGCGTGCAACAAATCCATCAAGACTTCAAATTATTGCTTCCGCCTATAATATTGTCCAATTCCATCCGTAACATTGCTTTTTCCAGTGAAAAAGTTGTCTTATCAAAGTCAGGAGAGAAATATGCACAAATCAGGCATGTTTACAAGCTAAAACAGTTCTAAACAAATATTTGAGTGGATTTTGACAACAGGGGATGGACCTTTTCACTGGAGGAAGTGTTATTATGGTTTGGTATTTGGATCAGAATGCAACAATTTAAAGTTTAAACATTTAAATGATGGACTTATTTTTATTAAATTTTTAAATAAAACTTTAAAAATGAAAAATAGCTTTTCATTTCTCAAGACATTAATTGATGGATTGGAGTTGTGTGGATTACTTGTAGATTATTGTCATGTTTTTATCAGCTGTTTTAACTCTCATTCTGACGGCACCCATTAATTGTGGTGGATTCAGTGATGCAATGCTACACGTCTCCAAATCTGTTCTGAAAAAGAAACAAATGCATCTACGTCTTGGATGGCCTGTCAATTCTCCTATTTCCCCACACTGAAATAAAATGGTGCAGAAAGAATTTTCACTCAAAAATGTATAGTAAATTTCACAAACAATTACAAAGACACAGCAATTGAAATAAAATGTGAAACTTTGAAGTGGAAAAACTAAAATAGCATTTTCTTGCAAAAATATATAAATAAATAAAACTACAACAATAATTTTATATTGGAGTAGTTTTTTTTTAAATTGGTTTTATATACTAAGAATATATATATCTTTTTTGTTTCCAAAAAGGAAAGAAGGCCATACAAGTTTAGAATGACGCAATGTTGAGTAAATGATGACAGAATTTTAATTCAGAAGGCTAAACTATCCATTCAGCTTTCTAAATTCTCAGTGTCTTCGACTTCTAGTCAAAGCACATTACATTTAAACATAAACTTCTGCTAAAAATGACAAGCACTGTAAAGAAAATGTGTCACATAACAGTGAATTTCTAAGACTGAAATAGTACATAAGGCCTTCTGGTGAAACATATGTGACAAAGCCTTATTCACATGTGTTTTAAGCCTGAGACTTTTCAACACATTTAAATGCAGGGTATGTGATTTTTCAGGTGATTTCAAATATCAACATTGGCTACCAGAAATCGCTT